ATATTTTGTTACTTTTATATTAAAAATTGTATAACTTAAGGTGTCTACTAACGCAACCTTTTTTATAGTGTTCAAATATGTTCCATGAAATTATTGCGTTCAAACTTGTTCCACCAGAATACCATTGAATAACAATCAGATTTTTAAACAAAATTACTTTATCAATATTTCAAAAAATCAAATTAGCTAGTTGTATTGACTTTCAGAAACCAATTGCAAAGTATAAAAATACTGTGATTTTAAAAATCATTAATCCTTCGAAGGCCAAAGTTCATTAAATTTCTACCAATATTTTCCATAAAACACTGAATTATCCATCGAAGTCTTAAATACTAGGAAAGAACAACATATTAATCTTTGGTTATTTGAATAATTAAACTATTCATTTGCATCTTTCGGTTTTAAATAAACATTGAAGCTCGAATTTTTCATTACGATGACATTCGACCTAAAAACGTTTACGTCTAATTGTTCTTCAGCTTTCCATGCAATTATACCTTTAGTACCTATAGTACTTGAACATCCATTACCCAAATAACCTAATAATTGGACATTAATTCTTCCATACGTCACTTGATGTATACCTACCTACAAATGTACCAGAACGAATCGGCATTCATGCTTGCACATATATACTGAGAATAAAGTGGGTAATTATACACGTAAACGTGGCAAAAATTCAATGTTATTCGAATATCAGTAAACTGTGAGCGCTCCATAAATGCAATCTATAACGTTACTATCATTAAACCGCCGTTTCATTACTGCAGTCTGTAATGTTACTATCATTATACAGGAAACGATTCATTAACACAATCTGTAACACAATAAACGCACTTAGAAACCCCTCGATCTATATGAAAGTGCTGTAAATACGGTAGAACCTCGATTATTAGATTTAATTGGGTCCTCGGTAGACTAAGTAAATAAGTGGAGGCTGGAAAAGAAATTTTTGTTAGAAAAGTGTGTGTGTATTTAACACTACAACTACCGAGCAGTTCAATTGACTTTTTGAAATTTCTTTATAGAAACTTTAAGAGTGCATTAATAATTTCTCAGAGAAACGTCTGTTACCTTTTTAACAACTGCAAAAGGAAGAAGTCAGGAATGAAAACGAAAAAAGTTGATGCTTATTCTACGGCTACGTTTATTTCATACGTTAACAATTAATAACAGTAAAGTAATATTTAATTTATCTTTTAAGAAAATAAATAACACTTAAATTTCTCAAATTCAGTTTAAAATTTTCGTCACGAGTCTGACACGATACAAATAGAATCCAAATTACCGAGCTCGTGATAATAGAAATTCTACTATTCCTGAAAATAAAATAGCCCAACCTTTAACCAGTTAACTGCGTTCGACAAGTATACACATCATCTTAAAAGTCAAAATGATACTAATTCTTTCAACGATGAGCTCTTTATTTTTTCAGATAAACGTGTAATTCTTCTTCATTTTACTTTAATTTTTCGTTATAATATAGGTTCAATTAACCTGCGTTTGACGAGTAAACATTTCATTATTTGATTTTATTGTGTCCATAATGAAAGACTTTTGAAACAAAATTCCACAGTTAACGGGTTAACACTAACCGCACCGATTCCTACCGTAACCAATCCAATAACTGGCTATAAAATAAAGGTAAACAAATTTGACGATAAATTTTCCTTGTTGTAAATAGAAAGCAAAGGAAAAGAATTGAAAAACTAATATAAAAACTAATAATCGAACAATATAGGAATTTATCCTCTTGCACTGGAAAAACGTACCATGCACGGCAAGATACTTTTGTTCCAAAATTGCCAATGACATCTTGCAAACATCGATAGTCTAGCTGCATTAGGTATACTAAGTTGTTTTGGAATATATCACTCTATACAAAATGATTAATAAATAAAACAAAATTCTTCGCCCAAGACTTTGTCAAATCTCTAAATTAAGCTCCAGTGTAAGAGGTTAAATAAAGTTAAATGAACGAAAGAAAACGCAGAATTTTTAAGCGAATTTTAAAACCGGTCATTCGACCGGTTCGCGGGATAGTTAGTGTTAAGTGTTGTGAACACGGATTTTTAATTAACTGACACATGCCACACCAATGCCATATGTATGTATCGCTTTAGTGTACGTCCAAAACCGTAATCTCTAGCAGAAACGTTGTCCCAATTTGTGGAACGCCTACTGACCCCGTGACTTCAATTTCTCACGCAGGCCACGCAGAACATTGCACATGGATCCCTTCTCAAAGGATATTGACCAATAAATTAGTACCGCTGTTCCGGTGCGTGTAATCCTACACGCATCAATTGTCACTGAAAACGACGAGAGTGCAACGAATTTCTTTTCACTTCCAAAACAGAATTGTTATTTTCCAGCCACGCCCATCTCTCTCCTAACCTCTTGCCCTATGTTTTATTTCTTATCTGTGAACAATACAACTACTTTATCGTTAATAATTTATTACGAAAAAGAACATTTGATGATTAAATTATTCTATGTCTATGACTGTTTCTATGTCTACGTTTACTCCAAATGTTAACAATTAATAATAGAAAAGTAATATTTAATTTATGTTTAAACGTCTATTTTTATTTTTTTAAATAAAAGAAAGCATCAGAAAATCACATTGTTTATGGGATGATACAATAAATTCAGTGCATGTTGTCAAATTTTTGGATGTCTATCGGAAAGAAGTTAGTGAATGAAACATTTACCCAGTGAATTTTCTTGTGATGGTCTCTTAGATTTTCTTATTGAGCATTCTGAGTTCGTTGCATTCAACCTGGAGGTATGTCGTTTCGATATGTGCTCAGGTATGCCTTTCCTAACCGATATACGCGTTTCAAAGGATGAAGGAAAATCCAAGGCGACATCAGTGACTCGTAGTTGTGTCTCGGATCAGCACGGGTTCACGATACGTCGATTGCTATCGAGGTCCACGGAGAATCTCCGCTTTTGAATATAGTTTGGAGCTTCCAATACACGGAATACATGAAAATTTTGTGCACGTAAGAATATATAGGAATCTATATTCGGTATATGGAAATAACGAACATAACGGGCACCTGTAAACACGTGCTGAATTCCTAATCTCAAAAATAACAAAAGAGTCACTCCCGTAATATAAATTTTCGTTAAACACACGTGTCTCTAACATGACCTTTAGTAAATATGTGAAAAAACAACGGGGACTGTGTTGGTCGTTGCATAAACTCAAACAGGCATCTGAAAATTTTCAGATAAATCGAATTTAAGATTTTTGAAATTGTTTTTTAAGTGACTTTTAGTTTTATCGTTATTAGTTTTTGCAGTATGATTTTTAACAATGTTTTTAATCCTGATATTTGTACATGTTCTTTTCCTTGTATAAAAATGTACGTTGAAAATACATTTCCTGTTCTCAGTGATACACATATTTTTATGCTTCTTCGATTCGTGCAATCTACGTATAATAAATATCCTAATAAAGATTATTAAGATACAATATTTAAAAAGTGAACATATATTGAGACATTTCAAATTTCTGTTAGAATATTTTGTGCCACAATGATTTATATTATTAAAATAGGTGTTCAAACGTTCCATCGTAGGAAAATAAATTTTATTAGCCTAGTTTCTTTCCTTACAATTTTTTTCTGTCTCTAATCAAGTACTAGGCACGCTCAATTAAGTGTCTCACCCTATACTTATATTTGCTCCGGTTATATACGGTGCTAATAATTGGCGTAATTAATCAATTCGATGCTAAACCTGTACCGAAAGAAAAAAAATGTTGTGCAGCATCTATAAGAATAATGAAAGCTTGATATGACCGAATTTACAACGATTAAGCTAACAATATTAAAGATTATAAATTAAATGATTGCAAATTCGGTAGATTAAGGGTTGTTTTATTTGATTACAATTCGCGCGTAAATCCAGGAACCAGTTTACATTGATAATCCTAGTAGACAAATATATTTTCGCAAATATTTCGGAAAGTTAACCTGCGATAATATGTAGAAAAAAAAGTTACTCAAATTCATGCTCCGGGCAATATATTTCTACCCTATTGATATCAATGGGTAGCACCCTTTTCTGTATAATTACCAATTAACCTCTTCGCTTCTATAGACGGGATATCTTGTGACATAATATCGTTCACGAGATACTTTCGACGAGATATTTCGTCGGATAATGTCATTCATCAAGTGCTATGGACGAGATATCTGCTTTTTTACTAGAATTTAGAATATCTTATCCAGCGATTTTTAATCAGAAATTAAAAGTATTATACATATATTATAAGGGGTTGTACCGTAGGGGGTCCTACTGTAATACTTATGCAGATCACTGCAGTCGATCAGAAACTATACCAAGGCCTTATTACTGCGCAACTTTCATGTCCTGAGTCAATCCCAAAAGCTAAAAAGTCACAGGGGCAAGGAAACTTTCCTGCTCAGGATGCTCGCGTCAATAGCTACAGAACAACAGTTGATGTTATTGGCCAAACTGCGTGATGAAGAAAGCAGACGGGGCGGAATGCGACAGAGTGAAATGTAGCAAACATCGAGACCGAATCTTGGGGAGGCGAAGGCTCAGTTATGTTTCTTGGAAGGACCAAGATAAAGCGTCCTATATCTATATGTCCTATGTCCTATATCTTTCACAACTGTATTCAATAGAACTATCTCATTATTAATAATTTAGTAGAAGGAGAGAATTTGATGCTGAAAGCTAAAGATTGATTGGCTTCGCGGAGACCCAACCAGACCAGAGTTTTTAGCTTTCAGGATTGACTCAGGATGCGAGAGCTCTACAGTAGATCTATTCTCCAAATCTATCACCAACTAGATACCAGCTCCTTCTACGAAAAACATTCCGTCTTACCCATCCGTTCTGTTTTACCCCGATCTCCTTTACCTGACATTCACGTTACCACCTAATATTCGTATCTTTCTGCTTGTAGGCCGCGTGGGTTTCTCTGAGTTGGGACCGGCGGTAGCAGATCCATGATCAAAATGAGTCTTATAAACTCGGATTCGGAGAACCGCGTGGTCCTGAATGTAGGCGGAATCCGGCACGAAACGTACAAGGCGACCCTGAAGAAGATCCCCGCGACGAGACTATCGAAGTTGACCGAGGCTCTCGGGAACTACGACCCCATCTTAAACGAGTACTTCTTCGACAGACATCCGGGGGTCTTCGCCCAGGTCCTCAATTACTATCGTACCGGAAAGCTCCACTATCCAACGGATGTTTGCGGACCGCTGTTCGAGGAGGAGCTCAATTTCTGGGGCCTCGACTCCAATCAGGTGGAGCCATGTTGCTGGATGACCTACACCCAGGTACATTAGCACCGAATGCTCCGTATCTGCTTTCTTACCTTCGCTTAATCGAGACATCATAGATGCGGATTTGCTATTCACGGATGCAGATTGGAAGACAGGACTGTGTTGCTTGGAAGTAGCCGAGATCGTTTGATAGGAACTGTGTTAGAGACATGTTTGAAATGTTTGGGAGTCAGGGAATTTGCTATTTGTTCAGGGTGTGAATATTGAACTATCTCCGTTGATACAGTATTTTTATGAATATTGTTAATCCGTTGACGCATGATTTTTGCAGATCCGAAATTTATGAAACACTTTTCTTTAATGTTCTTTTGATGCTGCTAGAAATTGGATGGCAATGCACTATTTCTGAGAAGTATTTTTCCTAGTTTTCTCTGGAGAAGGTATAACTGCATTTGTTAGTATAGGAAATAAAACTTGATGGCTACAGACGTCCTTTGTGTCAATGGGTTATGGTTCTTAGAAAACGAGTAGGAAAATTTATTTCAGTAACCTGTTCTAAGTTCACCATATTCCAAATGTTTTTTAAAGTTATGATTCATTCTGGTACTGAATTCTGATTTTTAACAAAAGAATGTGATTAATTAAACTTGTAGTGTGTTCCATGTGCATATGTCAACATTCAACCACTTTAAATTTACATTGTCCAAGGCAAAAAACAAATTACATATGTTGAACATTTTGTGCAAAAAAAAATTTAAGATAAATGTATATAAAAGAATAAATATTTAAATTTTTACAAAACTCTCAATATAAAATTACTTCGAAGCTTTTATTAGTCCGAAATGTTAACAGTTTATGCACTTAACAATATTTTATTTGTCAGAACAAATTGACTGTACGTTGGTCCATGTCAAAACGAAATTGACGATTTTCCGGTATCTCGAACAAACGTAAACCTTAATCTGCATCAGTGATAAAATAGCAAAATCCCGCATCATTAAGTGATTTAATTGGAATGTGTTTGTTTCGTCTGTTCGTAATACCGTTTTATATTCAATCTAGATCAATAATCACGAACTTGAAACATTGCACTATGCAGACGATGTGATATAACTGGTGTCGATTTAATTTCATCATCCACTATATTTTCGTGTGATTCATAGTGTGCGCACACTATTAACATGGCCACCGATTATATAACGCGAATTGTAGAGTATAATCGGCATGCATTCATTTTGTACATTTATCATGTTATCATTCATTCGATATAATTCCATCGACACAGTTCCGTGGTCATGTGCGGCTAATTATATGATCCGGAATGTTCATTATTCACACGTTTCGAATTTAATTAAATCGTATAATTCACAATTTTTAAAGGACGCAAACGAAACTATAGAAAAATTAAATAATATTCTTCCAATCGTATTTAACTACGACGGTAACCTTTCACATTCACTTCAAATGAACTGATGATTTTATTAAGAACTTTGTTTTATAACAACAAGGAAGGTATTTTACGCATTGCAAGTAACCCCATTTCGAAACTTACTACAAAACAAAACAAGAATAAACAAAATAAAAGTCAATGCGTTGCTAAGGGAAAAGTCGAGGACCTACCATTTATTTAATATCGTTATCAAATTATTATTTGAAAATTTGATTTCAAATTCTGCATTCTTCTTCGTTCACCTAATTTTATATCAATTCCGATACTTTCCGATTAATCGGTTTTTCAACTTTTGTCTGTCCTTCTGTTTCTGTTTCCGATAAAAAAACTGTATCGTCCAACTTGTTTACCTTTATTTTATAATCAATCATTTGACTGGTCACGGTGGGAATAGGAAACGTGCCGGTACGTTCAGTGTTAATTAAAAAGTCGGTTATTTATGTACATCATTTCACAAAGCATGAATGAAACATTTAACACTAAAACTACCGAGCAGTTAAATCGACTTTTGAAATTTCTCTATAGAAACTCCAAGAGTGCATTTATTCAGACTTCAATCGATTAACAATTCAGTTTGCGTACTGCTAAATCAATTTCTTTAACACTGTATTTACGGGCATTTATTGTGCAGTTTATTTTATCATTCCTAGACCAATTGATGTTCGTCTATCTAAATCTCGGAAATTAGGTGTCCAAAAATAGACAATCAGAGTACGTATTCAGGCAATTGCATTAATAAAAATCGACGTAAACATTTAACAAATAATGTTTGTAAAATTCAGTGTGCGTCAAATTGACGCTTTCCGTAAATCTAGTGTTAATAATTTCTTAGAGAAATATCTGTTATCTTTTTAGTAATTGCAAAACGAAGACAACAGGAATGGTTCATTTTGACCATCGGGTAGTTTTAGTGTTAAACCTTCGTTCACAGATTTCTCGGTTATTTAATGGAAACGTCGTCAACGTTTCTTTTCACTTTGTTTTTATATCACCTCTAGCTTGCAAACGAAAGCAAACGAAACGCTGCCTAAATATTTTCCGTATTTCCATCTTTGTACTAAATTTTTACGTTGAACTTGCTTGTATTTAAAAAATCTATCTTGTACAAAATTGCCCAGAGAAATTTATCCTACAAACACACGACACTCGAATTTCGAATTTTTATCGCTGGAATTGATTTCTGTCGCATCCTTTAAAAATCGATTCGATGCAGATATTTCTTACATTGTGTAGTGCACGCGCAATTATTGATTTATGGAAACTCACCGTGTACGAGACGAGCGAATTGATGCGCCTATTGTGGTACATCATGCACAGGATACGAGTACGAAAGAATCGAAAAATCTTCGTTACAGGTTATTTAATCCTTTGTTCCACGATCACCGGTAATCCCTCGCCCTATAACAACAATAGCGAGATATTTCAAAGATTAATTGCAAAAAGGAATTCTTCGCGAAGATTAAACGAACACAATGGTATTTCAGTGTTCGTTTGGAGTGGATCACTGATTTCTATTGTTCGAAATATTCAAAACACCCCAAAGTTCCAAGTATTTATTCTCCAATCGATAATATTTTGTTGGTTACATTGATCTGTTCCAATCCCTCTGAAAATGAAATGTATTCTGTTCAACATATTTCCTGCTTTGAATATAATTTATTAAATCAGTATTATTCGGTTACAAGAATGAGTTATTTAAATAAAATTTATTTAAAACGTACTTCGTTTTATCATCTTTGTACAATATTTTTGTGTTTACATAATTTCATACTCAACGAGAAGGGTTTTAAAAAGGTAAACTGTCCTCTAACTTAACGGTGATTATTGATTTCATAAGTATTCTATTGATATGAGAAATTAGTTACATAGATTTCTGTGACAAGAATGATTTCGTATACAATTGGATGTAGACGATATTAATAACAGAAATAACAAGTAGATGATAATTTGAGATTATATTTGCAATATGTATATAATAATATATAAATCTAGTTAATAATTCAGTACAAACTATTTACGTGATTTTAGTAATTATAAAACAATGAATCACAATATGAACTTATGCGACATTATTGCTAGTAATAGCTTATTAGTGAAAAGTTTGTTGTAGAAAAATATATTTGTGAAAAATATGAACGAACAAAATATAAATTTAAAAAATTTCAAACAGTTCCATTTATAACAATCGAGATTTTCGAGGCTTATAAGCACCTTCGTCAAATGAATACTTCTTTAATTGCTAAACATGTAAAGATGATCAACCACTATCAAAGTCTTGAAATCTTTACCAAATCTAAATAAAATCTTCATAAGAATTTGCATATTTTTAGTTATACTGCTTTAAATCCTTAACCAATAAAGAATTCACAGCTTCTTCTATAAAAATTAGAAAACTACATTGCCTAATAAACTTTTAATTGCACTTAGTTTTTTACATATAATGTCACTGACTACGGGACACCTTACATTTTCAATACAACACTCTTATCGTAACAGTAAAAATTCTCTCGAAAAGATAAATAAAATATTCAACTGGTTTCATTATCAGAGGACTTCTATATGTCGTTAGTTCGTCGTGTTCGATCACCAATATAGTCTACAAGGTGGAATTAAAGTAAAAATAGTAAAAGTCGATATTACTAGCTATCTCTGTACTTGCTTGTAATAATCGAAATGAAAAAATTAGTAATTTGATTGCATAGAACAATCATCGGAAGTACTTCGGTGAAATATCTCGATGTTATATAAAACCGGATCTCTTCGTTCCGAACTGCAAAACACATCCTTCCCATCTTCATCGGAGTAAACGGGGAAACGAACCATTCAAATAGATTGCATTTTCTTCCCTTCGTCTCACTATTAAGATACGGCAAACGATATGGAGGACATTCTGGTAATATGATGGATTAAGCTCATTTTTCACACCGCGCAAAATAAAACTTATCTGATCACGATATTTCATCCGCTACATCCCTTTTACGAAGAACACTGTGGTAATCGATGATAATGACTAATGGTACGCAGTTCGAAAATATCTTGGACATCAATTTTTACGTAATAATGTGTCAAATGAATGTGAAAGAACGTTGTCAAATGAAACGCGAACATATGCTGACAAAGCGAGAATTATATCTATAATACGATAATTTAAAGAATATTAATTATAAAAGAATTAATGTGAGATGGAAGTTGTATAGAATAGATAGTTACCACTCCATTGTATAAATTTGTGTAAGATTAAACATTGAAAAATAAAAGAAAATTACAATTAAAATAATAGAAATTCTAAAATATATATACGGCCGTTATTCTACTTAAATGTTGGTCTAGCAATGAAGTAAATAAGAAAATATTAATAAGCAATGTTATTTATCGCATTTTATGGTTTCCGTATGGAAACTTTATACGTGTACAGTTGTAAAATTTTAAACAAATTTGCAGTGTTGCTTAACCCTTAATTAGTCCGGGTGATTTTATGATCTAACAACTCCAAACTATTTATATAGTACTCCTGGTGAAAATTGAAATATGTTATATCAACATTGCGTAGATTTTTTATTTTTATTTTTAGGACAAAATTCGCATGTGTAGCAAACGCAATAAT